TTTGATCACCAACGTGTACCTACCAACAGTATTTATTGTATGCCTACACTGTTATTGAGTAATGTGTATAAACATAAGGTAATAAAACTAATTGCTAAAAATGAATCAGCTTATTGAACATACTTTTGGTTTCCAAGTCAACTTTACATTTCTTTTATAATACAAACAATTTTTTTTAATTTATTGTCTCACTCATTTTTTCAAGTGTGTTTACAACAATAAAGCGTACAACGTAATTTTATATTATAACGATCGTACCAAATTACGAGACTTCGAGAGTCGGTCGGTTACTTACACTATCAGCCAAAATATATTAATTTGGGCAATTAAGCCAAATCATTTTAACGAGTACCTACGTCGAAAGTCGTTAGTATACTATTTAGGTACGTACAAAATATTTTCTCGTTAATTAAAATTTTTTTTTTATCATTACCTAATACAAATCTTAGGCAGAATGGCTACTAGATGATAGTGCGACAGATTGCGCACATAATTTCTTTACGTATATAACTAGTTACATTTTAATTCTAAGCGGAGCAATGAATCATAAATGTACCTATTTGAGTATAACAAATTTACAATGTGTTAGTTTTTTTTTATTACGGGTGAACTCTTAAATTTAAAGACTTCCAACCGTAATTTACTTATAACTCAGGGAAAACTGGAATTCTTACGCAAAACATTTTTTGATAAAAACCATTATTGTTTTTTCTTGTCATTGACAAATTAATCGTGGTAGGTGATTAAAATTTCATTTAATAAGTTCCATAAAATCTATAAATTTAGATAAAATAGTTATGTTCAGTCAAACAAAAAAGAAAAAGTAGGTAACAGTTCTGCTGCACATCATCATTGAGTGAGTCACGGTAATACGTATAACATTGTATGTGTTAAATTTAAAGTCAATGATAAATCATTAGAATATTTCGTTAAAATCTGAACTACTTATGAGGAACCTCGTATTTAATTTTCAAAGTTTTGCACCAGTGAAGAAATTGTTTGAAATTTATAAGTAAAATAACTAAAAAATGACAAATATCAATGTATGTGAAGCTCGAAAAGAATACAATTTTGAAAATTATGAACATTTTATGCAGTGTATAAAATACTACCATCAACATCTGGTGAAAATTTGAAGGATCTAGTTTTTCACATTTTAAGTTATACCAAAAAACAATATTGATTCTTTGTCTTGGGTCCCACCAAGTACCAATTAGATCAAATTTACTAGCAGAAATCTCCCTCATAATTGAAAATTGGAGCATTTTTACTACCCAAAAAAGTGATTACTGACAGAAAAAAATATACATCATTGTAAAATTACATTTATCTCTCCGCTTGGTACCTACGATTGAAAATATAATTCAAGATTTCTCATAAGTTGTACATACACTTCACAAGAATTAATTTATAGTTAAAAATTAATATAATTTTTAATTTTTACATCAAAGCAATTAATTTTTTAACGAAATTGGATAAAAGTATAAATAAAAACTCTTGCCAGGTCAGAGATCGGCATGTACATTTTTTTTATTTTTAATTTTTAGAAATTTAATAACTGTGTGTAATGTGTATGTATTTTATTACAATATAACCAAAATTGTAATTTAAGGAAATTATTAATTTCAAATAAATTCATTGAGAATATATTAGACTATAATATGTTGAACACAACTGGTTTGAATTTAAAAGGTATTCAAGTCATTTTGCTTGTTTTATTTATTAAATTACCCATATATTAAACTTGATGACGAATAGTGTACCTAATATGAATATTTTCCGATATCACACCCAAGTGGTATGACAATTTGAATCCAGAAAAACATCGATATGAATAGCTCCCCACGTTTTCATTTAGTGGGATAGATCTCCGAAACCGGGGAGCGAATTTTGTTGTTTGGTGTCTTGTTGGATTCATATTGGCTATAGGAGAAGTGCCTTGAAGATTTTCAGAACCGCATCTTTAATAGTTAATTCACTACAGAGCTCTTAAAAAAAAAATAAAACACATATTATTGGGCGTTTTTTGATATTTTTCAGCTTTAAAGCTTTGTAGTAAATTGACGATTGAGGATAATGTTCTGGAAATCTCCACTGCACTTCTTCTAGCCAATGTAAATGTAACAAGACCTCAAACAACAAAATCCGTTCTCTGGCAGTTTTGGAAATCTACTCCTCTAAATGAAAAATAACTCTTTTTTTTAACTGTGAAAATTTCAATAATTCTTTTTAAAAAATTTTTATTTCACATTTTGTATCTACTTGATAATCTCTTTTTAATGAGCTATCAACCAACTTTCTAGCTAACATAGTTTAGGACATAAGTTAAGAAATATAAATGTTAGGACTGTTCACTCCGATGTTTTTGTGGATTCAAATCGTTATACCTCTTAGGTGTGATATTGGATCCCTCATTAATATTTTATATTAAAGCTAGTTTAATTAATCACCTACTCATTATTACTGTGATACATTTTTATTGATTTCCTATTTAACAAAAATCCTTGAAGTTTTTAAAATTCAAACTTTTTTCATTTCAATTGCCATACTTACTTGATTAAAAATCAAGAAAGTAAAAATAATGGTTTTAGTTATTAGTAAAATAAATTACTTTGTTATTTCGCATACAATGATTGAATGATTTATCATTGATTTCAAACTTAGCACATCCATTACAGTGACTTGCTCAATTACGGGGAACAGTCGACGCCTAAATACTATACAGCAATGCGTCTTCCCTGTTTTTTACTTTTAGAACACTAGCTGCAATATTACGACAATCAATAATCAACAACAACTAACAAGATTACAGGCGCCTATATTAATCTAAGAGGAATAACAAGTATATATTATTCTCCATAGCCAGATTCTCAGATCTAGGATTCTATTTTTTTTTTAAATAGATGTATAATACTTTAGTGTATAAGACACGTATTTTCTTTTCATAAAAGCAACAATACCCATTGTGTGGCCATATAGGTGTAAATTATTTATTTCAATTTTTGTGGTCTGCGCAATCCGACAAGACGCGCATCGTACACAGTACACACGATACATCGTTGTCGTTGCATTACACATAATACATAATATGTACGTATATAATACACACACATATTATAGGAGGTCGGGTGGGTAACTATGTGTATGCGCACATAATACGTATTCAAGCGTGATGGCTAGTGGGAAATCTCCTGGCGTCCAAACCGCATTCACGTATAACCTTTGCTGGAGCGTGACGTCGTACAAAGTGTCATTTATTGTTTTTTACGTCCGAAGGTGGGGAGTAGGAGGAGAAGGAGGAGGAGGAGGAGGAGGAGGAGGAGGTTATTACTATCGCTCGCTCTCTATCTCTCTGAAAAGTGGCGGTTTTTCTGTAGACAAAATTATAATAATAATAATAATAATAATAATAATAATAATAATAATGATAATAATTGTATTTGTGGTTTCCATTTACATCCATGTATAATATTACACACCTATATATATATATATATATATTATACTCTCCGCCGTGCCATATCCCTCGCCTCCCCTGTCATTTCTCCCGCGGTACCGACGACCATGGTTCACCGCAAAGTTCCGTTCTCCGATATAACAATAATAATATAATAGTCCGTCAGCCGTGGATACGTTGCAGCTATTATATTATTGTGTAGTGTTGGCTCCGACGTTTCTGATAGAGGCTTACGAAAAATAAAATATAAACAATATTACGCGTATAATGTATGTATATATTGTAATATATGATATTCATCTCAATGATGTAGGTAGTATTGTACTATTGTACGTTTTTTAACTGTATCTATAGAGTAGAGTGCCAATAAGTTTCGTCTGCATGCAGTTCTAGTAATATCTGTCGAACATTTTTTTTTTTGCTATTCTTTAAGCATAACACACTATATGGCAATGATTAATTGTAGAGACGCACGACGACGTGTGCGAGAATATTCTTGATGATGTCCATTCGTTGAGAATAATCTAGATCATTTCGATTCGTCGATAAAATGTCGTTCCCGATTTGATGTATAGTAAATTATAAAAAGTGTGATTCGGCAAGCGTGCTCATCAGTGGCCCCATTTTCTTTCAATACAGTATATTTAATTCAAATTCAGATTTTTAGAATTTATAAGTATACTCAAATAATGTATTTCCGAATCAGTGTTTTTTATAATATTAAAGGTGTCATTGCTTAGCTGAAAATAAACTTTTATTTTCAAACGCGAACCACTTTTTACGGACAATTTATAAACAAATTATTTTTTTAGAAATGTTGATGTAGCTCAATCAAAATTCAACAAGCATTTTTTTAAATTAATTATTATATGTAAGTAGTAAATATTAAGGATTATAGTTGTTATAATTACACTAGTGCCTAGTATTACATTAAATATAAAATATATGGTTATAATTGTCATCCTTATTATGGAAATTAAATCGAATTTATTAGTAATTTATATAATTCAATATAATATGTATTATTTCTTACAGTAGTTTAGCACTGAAAAGATAATATTATTGAGTTAAATAAATAAATATTTTTATATAAATAACCGTAATTTTAAAATCATCATAATCTCTATGTGTGTTAGACCTATGGATATGATACGTAATTAGTATCTTTAGATTATCCTTATGATACCCAGATAATATTAAACAACTCAGAATCTACTTGATCAAAAAATCCTTCTGTCTAACAATTTACAGAAAAAATAATGCGTTTCTCATTTTAAAAAACGAAGTTTTTATCAAGGTACTCCTTAAATAGCATAAAAAAATTAAGTATTTAAAAAATGGTCTTTAAGTATTATACTCCAAAATTCTAATAGTCAAAATTTAAATAAATTTCTTATTTAAGGAAAATACGGGAATGAGCATGCTTGGTGAATAATTTGTACCATTGTACCCATAACAACATACTATTGGATTAATATTTTTCGATTATGTATAATTAATTAAAATTATTTTTCAACACTGTATAATATGATAAGTCAAAGAAATGGCAAAGAACACTAAGGAATCTTTTGAGTTTAACCGAACCGAACGATTACGCAGAACGATATTCCTCGAAGACTCCTCTGAAGATGAATTGTTCGAATACAATAACAGGACAAAAACAAGTAATTATTCTATACATTTCCAAAAACTAAGCTGCAACGAATATAATTTCGAATTTGTGTTACTTATTCTTCCTATTATTCCTTTATTTGCCCCATTTAATTAAAAATATAAATGCAGTATTATTAAAAGCGATGCTATTGCGGTACAAAGCGTAATCAAATGGGATTACAAATGTTAACAAATATTAATAATGCACTGTACATATTTCGTAAACGCAAGCATTATAAGGACAATAAATAAATATATATTAAATCATATTTATACTAAAGTTGGTATAGTCTCAAGCTTTTGTTATCTTAAATAATTTGAAAATATAATCTTCATAAATTATTATTTAGTATTGTTTTACGTTCAGGGGACGTTTGGAATAAACCACCTGCCACTTTAATAAAGCCAAAAACTAAGGTCAAAGTTGGAGGTCGTGCTGATTCCTTACCTGTTTCTATCAAGCCCGTTAAAATCGTTAAAAAAAGAAAACCCACAGTAACCGATCGTACGATGAACGTTAATGTGACTAACGTAAAAACCAAACAAGTGGAACCGACTCTTATTAAAATCGAAAATAAACAATTAGTCAATCAAACGTCAGCAAAACTCAAAAGACACGTATAAATTTAATTTATTAATATATAAAAAAAAATAAAGTTCATGTAAAATATGATAATACTACTATAGTCTACTACTCTCAAGTTATTACAAGACCGTTAATATAAATTACATTAGGTGCAATTACATTATTATATGTGAGATAACAAGCTTTTGTAAAAATAATTTTCAAATAGGTAAGTGCTATTTCCTCATAAATCTCAACCAAAATAAAATAATAATTATGAATTTGAAAAAATACAGTTTGATACAACATTATAAAATATATTGTGATTGAGAATTTAAAAATTACAGTTTTAGATTTTGTCATTTGAAAATCAAATATTTATTAAGTTTTAATATAATTATCATATTTGTGTACCTGTACTCAGTATATACATTGTATTGAACATAGTTGAAATTAGAGAAACAAAGCAAACAAAAACGATAAAAGTATCTTAATATAATATAATATATTTTGGCATCCATCAGCACTCAACAGGGTTATTCAATATATAAAATTAATAATTTACGTCATAGAATCGCTTGAGTTCCATCATTACCCTTCGGTGTATTAACAATACCACATCAGGTTTTATTATAACGTAAGGATGTGCCTCCTGTATATAATTCAGAGACTGCGAAGGATAACGTGAATTTAAAGGTTTAAGGATGCACTGTTGGGGGCGTGTGAACCACCTCGGAGACAAAATACATATGTATTATTATTATTATTACTTTTTTAAATATAAAAAGACGTTCTTGACACGGGTATATAAGTACCGATATGTGTTTACGAAAAATCGGATTAGGCGGCAACAATGTCAAAGGCCACTTCATTTCAATACTCTCTGGTACGCCCGAAGCGCACATATCATATTAAACTAATCTTCTTACGGAAGAAAAAACCTGTACCTCCTTTTGTTGTCGTCCGACAACAAAAATGAATTTTTTAAGGATCGTTTTGAGTTGTTTTTTTTTCTCATTACATTTCTGTTCACGTGGTATATATGTTACACAACTTCGTTTAAAAAGGACCTATTGTCCTCACTCTTTATACATTACAATCGGATCACATAATGCGACATTTAGGGATATTTTTAAATGGATTACTACATTAAACACATTTTGTAGAAAAAAAAATAATACTTACAACGAGTATTGAGCATAATGTAATACGTTTTACTTCGTGTAATTTCAATACGATAGAATATAATATAATATTATGTATTAATTTAATATGATGAATGATGTGTATAACTTGTTATTTGTATATTATATTATAAGTACGATTAGTGACATCATTTGGATCACTCTAGGTATACATTTGCATTTTTGAATTTCTGCATGTTAGGTACGGGAATAACTGAATATCTGCGTATTCAGTATATTATAATTTCACCCGTGGACTGAATTCAAAGTCTGCTTCTCAGGAATAAACTGCTTGCTCAAAAAATGTTGGGTTTTAATAATGAAGCCATAGCCAATAGTATACTGCAGTGTGAAAATGATCAGTTTTCACCTAAATCGTTAATTTTGTCATACCGATATTATCTTGTATGCACTTTGCATTTACCAGTGGTTCCCAACTTTTTTCCTCTAAGCTTTTCCCAAGACAACATGTTCTGAGCTAAAGCATAATTAATTATAAGGAAACCGCCATTGTCTTTAGTTATTGCGTGTTATTTTTAAGATCAAATAATTATTCCGGGTCATTGTAAAAAAAACAGTGCTACCCCGGCCGTGGCTAACATTTTTGGGACCACTTGCATATACAATGGAAGCTTACACCTGCAATGTTTAAAATTAACTAGATTACAATTATTTAATCGATACTTTGAACAATTATTAGGAGTTAGGCTCAAAATGTTAAAATATTTTTATTCCAACGCCTGTAGCATTCAAAGTCAGGAAGTTGATATTATTCAATGACATGTTATGTGTATATCTAACTAATTAATATATCATTTTATGCGCAATATTGTGCAGATTATATATTTATACAGTTACGTCCGTGATTATTATATTTCTCGAAGAAGATGATAACACCGGATAGGAAAAATATGTACCACTTTCTAATCCGAGAACATAAATATAGCTGCGATACATTGACTAGATAATATGTTATACGTATGGTGGAGTTTAGAAAAAAATAAAAATAATAACAATAATGAACAATACCAGGCATTTGCCGCGTTCCTTCCAGTGTACCGCTTGAGGCTCGACGACAACGAGGCAAATACCTACGTAAAATATATATATTATGTGTGTGTGTGTGTGTGTGTGCACATGTATACGGACAAGCAAACACGCGGGACGGGGCTTAAGTAGTAAAGGGTTCGACGTATTTTAGTTATACATAGTTAGTGTATGCGTTTATGTACACACACACACACACACACACACACACACGCACACACTCATATACATAATATATATTATACATACATCACGCGTGTCGCAAATTTACCGGGCATTAAGTCTCGGCGAGTCCCCGGCACTTTTTTCAAAACTCAAACCCTTTTTTTCTCCTCTCCGACGCCGCGTCCCGAGCAAACATACGTTTGCATATCGCACAATGTACACAACAACAATAATATGTATGTATGTATGTATGTATATTCCATATAATATGCGCGTCGAACGGTGTAAAAAAACAACACGGCGAGGGGACACGCGTTTCCGATGGCAATCGGTCGGCCGGTCGGTCGGTCGTTCTCCGGATATTATTATTATTATTATTATTATGAATTATGATATCACAAACCTCGAGAACGGATTAGGATGTAGGGCTTCTCGCGCCGCTGACGTGCATCTGCTTAAAGCGAGCGTTCTTCAAATCGTATAAATTATAAAATGTGCGCACGCCAGCGGACGCGTTTATATGTATTATATATAATAATAATACATACCGAATGCAATGCGCGGGACCCTCGCTGGCGACACTGAGCATATATAGTGTAACGACAATAGTAATAATGACTGTCAACGGCGTTTCTAGCCGTTTATTGACACCGTCGCCGCCGCCACCGTATGTATATAATATAGTGTTTGTATTATTATTTATCATCGTTACTGCTGCAGTGTTCCACATTAAATTATGAAAAATTTCTGTTCGGCGTGATCGTTTTTCAAAAGGGATTTCATATTCATCCCATACCCATTGTGGTCCATTGTATTACGTTGTTACGGATCATTACAGCTTTAATATGCTTCTAAAATAACAACCTAGCTATTATATAATCGTATCTATAACTGGCACGCGATTGAACTGTGTAAATGCTTTACAGGTTTTCCTCGATACCCACCTTCAATCTTATATGATTGTAACATCTGTGGAATGAGTCTCATTTCCGTGAACAAATAATAGTTTCGGCGGTGTATCAGAGATACATAAAACCTCGCGGGATATGAAAAAAATATTTCATTACAGAAATACACATAAGGTTTTATTTATTTTTTATCAAAATGTACAAAAAATCTTATTTTCTCAACATTCTTACAAAATGATGAGAACGATTTCGATGGATATCATTATAACGGGGGCGTAACAGGTTCCACCAAAAGCGTACCTTTCCCATTTCCTCCCTTACTAGTTCCGCCAAATGAGAGATTGACCTATTCCTTCTTTCCGCTAAAACTGCAATAGGTATCGCTTATTAAAACCTATACAAAGTTTATTTAAAATAATTTAAAATATTGAAAAACAGTACTGTTTCTAGTTTCATTCGCTTTTTAATAACACAATTTGAATGTTCACTCACAGTATAGATTGTAAGAATAATCAGGCAACCTGCTGTGAGTGGTAAGTATCTACTGCAAAAGTCGTGAGTCAGTTGGATAAAATATAATATTATGTGTATTTAAATTTAAAAATAAAATAAACTCATTATTTTTTTTTAAATACTTACAAGTAATATAGTAATTACAATTATAGCGCTTGAATAATTATATTTTTGTATAATAATATTACGCTTTATCGCATAGTTAACAAAGTAGATAATTTACAAACATAGTTTTTTCTTTTAAATTACAAATTTTTCTCAATAAGGTCATCTAACTTATTGATAGCATGTTTTACATTTTTTAACAGTTTAACAGTTATTCACAAATTATTTACAACATTACAAGAAATTACATCGATAAATGGTACAATATAATAAAATAATAGACAATAGTACAATCCTAGATATTATATGAATTATAAATATAGGTGCAGTGGTGGTGGTCAAATTTTTAATTATTGGCTGTACCGCTGTGGTAGAGACAAATATTGCGTGCAACTGCATTTTACATCTACCACTATAGTAAATACTAAATAGTAATGACAACGTTATTATCATTATTTTTAAACATTTTTTGATACTTTTATAATTTTCATTCTTCAGTTTAACGGCATTCAAATTTAAAATATCTCGATTATTTTTGTTATTGTTTTTTTCCTATTATAGTGTGTGGTGGAAGGTGTGAAAAGCAACTAGGTCACAAACCAAATTTTTAGGGGGTTGATGTGTTATATTTTTTCTTTGTTAATCTGTTGTAATCCCCCCGCCCCTACACTTCTCTAATAAGTTTGCATATTTGTATGTGGCTGATAAGTTATCGCAAATATAATGTAGGTGCATTGATAATTTCGGCGTCTTATGTATAATTGTATTTTAATCAACAAATTTTAATATAACTTTAACATCACTTTCCTTTCTTTTAAATTATATGTTTCAAATATATCGTCATTCTTTAATAAAAATTCTCTTTCAATTTTAAGAATAGCCAAATGAAAAACTGATTGCAGTATACTCGTTAGTAATTTTAGTCAGTTATTTTTGCTTTATTGAAGAAAACATTTTTCTTGATTTACAATAGTAAATTTCAATTTAAAAATATTTTGTTAGTTACCTTTGAATTGTTATTTACTCATCAAAAGTAAAGTAATACATCCACCAATATTACGTTGTGAAAACTTTTGTGAAAATATTTAAAAACATGTCATCACACATCTTACGCCTCTGAGAATTGGAACTTTTAGT